CAGACCCCCCCTTCCCCGCCTGGGAATAGCAGTCACAGAATGAGGCGAGCCCAGTGCCTGCCTCGGCTTCCCAGCTGCCCTGGAGTGTGGCATGGGCAGATCCTGTGCTAGGTGCCTTTACTTTGTATGGCTGATTTTCTTTCTTTCTTCCTTCCTTCCTTTCTTCTTCCTTCCTTCCTTTCTTCTTCCTTCCTTCCTTTCTTCTTCCTTCCTTCCTTTCTTCTTCCTTCCTTCCTTTCTTCTTCCTTCCTTCCTTTCTTCTTCCTTCCTACCTTTCTTTCTTTCTTTCTTTTTTTTTTTTTTTTTACCATATAGGAGTTACAAATATAAGGTAAAAAAAAGCAGGAGGGTGCCAGAATAGTAAGCCAGTGATCTGGAGGTCCCTCCCACCAACAGTATGCCTTGCCCCTTGGGATATATGAGGTGGGGCACAAGTAGGTTTACAATTTTGAGTACACAGAATATAGCTTATTCTTGTATTATTATTTATTAGTCATTGTATTATTTTCCATACAACTGTAAACCTACTTTTGCCCACCCCTGTATTATGTTCTGTGGTGATGAACTAAATGTGACCAATGACAGTTTCTTATGAAGTTCTGTTCTTCGGGCCTGGAAGCCAGGCCCTGTCCCACCAGCTCCACTTAGGTGATTGCCCTTGATGGGCTTCTTCCTCCTGCCTGCCTCAGGCACCCAAACACAAGGAAGGAGGCATCTTAGTGGGGGAGGGACGATTTCTTCTGTGCATGATATGGGTGCTTATGCAAGGGATGGAAGTTGGGCTTTAGGGTTTAGTGACCTGAGTGTGTGTGTGTGTGTGTGTGTGTGTGTGTGTGTGTGTGTGTGTTTCAGATTAAATAAGGTGTTTTGTTTTTAAACTCATGATGAGAACATTTTTACGGGAGAGAACAAATGACTATATCATCCTTACCATGATTTTCAGCCCCTCTTTCCTTTACTTCCTGGGTATTGTTTTCCAGACATTTGAAGACAACTGTGGCTGCGAGCCTTTGTTTTCCTAATAATTGTGTTTCTCGTTTCTGTGGTGGAAAACCTCTTCCTTTGCCCTTTTGCATGAATACTCAGTTACTAACGATTGAGATCTGGTCCTTAATCAGTCAAGATCTGTGGGTGAGAATTTGCAGAGGAACAACAGTAACAGCCATTACAGGGCTCCCTCGGGGACTAAGTCTGGACTGAGGGACAGAGTTCCGTGGGGCTATGAAGTGGGTGCCTCCCGTCCTCTTCTTTTTCTCTGCGGCTCTATTTGAGTCCTTTCTGTGTTCCAGACCCTGTGGACTCAGCCCCCAAACAAGAGGCAGGCAGGTCCCTCAGAAAGACAAGAACTGTGCCCCATCCTCCTCCTCTGTTTCAAATGCTGACCTAATCCCTGTGTCTTAATCCTAGCTCCCCCTTGATTACCAGGAATTTCTTGTTGCTGTCGCCCTGTTATCTGGAATAAGGTGTGAACTAGGACAGACACGGTAAGACCACTTATCAGGGTGGGACATCGGCCACAAGAAGCAAAGATCTTTTCTCTTGGAATTCTAACTGGTGCACTGAAAATTATTTTCCTGCATTGAATAAGATATGAGCAAAGTGAAACTTTGTGAATACGTGAAAGTTAAATTTAAAACCATTTGAAGCCTGATTCCAGAGTAATGTTTTAATGATAACATCTAGGAAAACTGGTAATAAAGCAACTCGAGTAGTAGGTGAATGTCAAAATACACAGAAGTTGAGAGAGGAAAGGAGAATGAGATAAAGAAGGAAAAATTAAAAGAGACAGAAGAAGAGTAAATATTTGGGAAGTAGGGTGGAATTAGAGGTTTGGAGGAAAGTGAGCCATTTTCTTATGCTGGTCACATGAGAATACTATGCCCAGCAACATGCATGTGGCTTTGAGGTACACACTTCATAGAATGCACCAATCTAATATCAAGGGGCAAGGGGGACCAAGGAAATGATCCCGGTCCCAAATAGAATGTTCCCACCCAGGTAACATACAGGGAGCTCTATGGCTGTGCACTAATACCTACAGCTACGCTTACATCCTCTTGTAGAATGTCCTATAGGACCTACCGTAGAGTTTCAAAGATCACTCCCACTTTCAGCAATATGTGAGCTCCTGGGGCAAAAAGTAAAAACACTTTCTTTCCTACATTGAATTTCCTTCAAAATACCAGCAAGGAATTCATTATGTAAAGGAATCCAGGGGTGCACTCTGCATGGTAACTGTTCTGCTCAGTAAATTTCAAGTTTGGTTAATTCCTTCAAGTGGGACATATCTATTTTATCTCTTTTCCTTTGTCTTCTACCTCACTTTCCTTGGTGGCTTTTCTCCTTCTCCCACCTGGATCAGGGAGTCTCAGGACTGCTGCTGAGCGCAGGTAGCTACAAGATACAGCACCTCAAACTCTACAAGCCCCAGAGAATGGGTTCGAGAGCTGGGGAGGGCAGCCTAGAACATATGCTTCAGCCCTGGTACATGGAAATCGGCTTCATGGCCTTTAAGCCAAACCACAGACAACGTGGCTGGAGAGTCTCCTGACTTCAAGGCAGACCACTTGCACCATAGGGCATCTTGAACCCTGAATCTCCCATCCAGCCTCTCCCTCCCCTGAGTTGGAGCCCACTGGTCACTGTCTGGTATCCACTTTTGGAAGAAGATGCACTTTCTTCACACTCTTACCGGACAGGCCAACTGCCCAGGTTTGGGGCCTTGTCAGGGTTGACGCTATGGACCAATGGTGTACACACCACCTTCCCTCTGCCTGAGCTCTTCCCCCAGACACTCCCATGCTGAATCCCTCACTTTATTCAGAGATTAGCTCAAATATCTTCTCCTCAGAGAGGCCTTCCCCATCACCAAATCTAACAACAACCCACCGCCCTCGAGCCTCTGTGAATCTGCCCAGAGCATAGTCGGCCATGCCCAAATCACGTACAGACATCTGCAAGGAATACTATCCAGAAACCATGGCAGCCACTTCCTTGGGTTTGTACATTAGGCACACGCTGAAACGTCATGGCATAGAAAAAAAATAGGGTTGTACCAGTTATGAAACAATGGGAAAATATGCACTTACAAGCTTACAACGATTTAAAAAACAGACCCTAACAAAAGACAGACACATGGCTGGGAGGGAGGAGCACCATCTAGTGCAGTTCTTCTGTAGAACAATCTAGCAACACACAGCAGCAGCCTTCAAAATAGTTACAGTGTTTGGCCTAGTGATAAACATTGAGGACGTTATGCTATCCAAAAAAAAAGACCGCCCTGACTGGTTTGGCTCAGTGGATAGAGCGTCACCTGCGAAAAAAGACCAACACTGTATGATTCCACGTATATGAGGTGCCTAGAGTAGTCAAATTCATAGACATGAAATAGAATGATGGCTGCCAGGGCTGGGGCTGGGTGGGGAATGGGGACTGGGGAGTTAGGTTTAATGAATACAGTTTCAAATTGGGAAGATGAAACAGTTCTCGTCTTCTTTTCAGCTACTTCCTCCACAGGTCTCTGTAAGGCCCTATTTCTAGGCAGAATTTTAAAAACTGTTGGTACCTGGGAAACCAGCTATTTCTACGACCGCATCATCTCCCCAGTTCTCATACACAGTGCAGGTGCTCTGCCACAGGACTGGGAAACATTTTACATGATGAGAAAGGGGACTTATCCCCGGTCACTGTGTTCCAGCTTCCAGGTGTCTGAATAACAGCCCATGGGGACTTTAAAGGCTTGCATGACATTTCTGTGGGGAGAGACTGTTGTGACTTTAAAAACAGTTCTCTTCAAAACAACAACAAAAAAAACAAAAATTGTCCTCTTCTTTTGCCTCTCTGTAACTTATTTCCTGAACCCACGTAGCCCAGCTGGCTGATTTCTCTACCTCTGTGACTTTCTAAACACACGTTCTCTTATTAAAAAAATAACAAAGTGGAAAAGAAAACATGGTCCTCAAAGTCTCTTCCAATCTAGTTCTCTTACCTTGTAACTTGAGTTCTCATTCCAAAATCCAGTGACCTCATCGACTGCAGCACTTCAATACAGCCCATGTACTGGAATAAGAAAAGGGAAAAAAAAGAAGAACAGGTAGGAAAAAAAAATAGCACAAAGATGTCTCTTAACTTTAGAGTGATTTCCTGGGAAACACCTTAAATCAGCTCCTGCTATCAGATTACATGTACACACTCGGCCTGCCATGGATATTTCTGACCAAGAATGGACACACGCCTTAAACTTCAGTTCAGCTATAAAACATCAGCTAAAGTCAAACTATAAGATCAGGAATGCAGGTAACAGAGACAAATATGAATTCACTGGTTAACAGCTTGAGCTCTGGGGCCAGACCATGTGATTTAGAACCAGGCGCTGCCACGTGTTAGGTCTGGGGCCTCAGCAAGTTACTCAACATCTCTGCATCTCGGTTTTGTCACCAGCGAAATGGGGACACATCAGAGTTGTTGTGAGAGTACATTATTGCATACAGGTGTCCTGAGAGCAGTGTGTGGCACACGCATGTGCTCACACAGTAGAGGAAGTATAAGCAAATGTGAGACTAGTAATACAGAAACACTGAATCTTCTAAGGCAGTGGTTCTCAACCTTCTGGCCCTTTAAATACATTTCCTCGTGTTGTGACCCAACCATAAAATTATTTTCGTTGCTACTTCATAATTGTAATGCTGCTACTGTTATGAATCGTAATGTAAATATCTGATATGCAGGATGGTCTTAGGCGACCCCTGTGAAAGGGTCGTTCGACCGCCAAAAGGGTCGCGACCCACAGATTGAGAACCACTGTTCTAAGGAGGTAAAGCAAGCCTATAAATTCAGATAATATAGGGTTTCATCACAGAAGACCTTATTTTTTCAAAATCATATAAGAAGGTGTGAGAAACGACAAAACATTATGTCCTACACTGAGAATAAGTAAATTTAACTTGAACACGCAGGATTAGAAAAGGAATGGTGACTTAGGAAGCTCAAGGCTGGTTTACATTTAATGTGGTAGCAGAGGGAGCCACGTCAGGCTGCTGTGAGAGAGCGAGGCGATCAGTGTGAGCAGCCTATGCCAGCAGCAGTGTGGGGGTGGGAACTAGTGTGGGAACAAGGGAGGATGTGCCTGCCTGGAGGGAAGCAATGACAGCCCACACCGAAATGGGATGGGGGCCGTCGGAAGGAGGGGACAGAGTCAAGTGGCATCACGGAAATAGGTACTATGTGATTCGGGAGCTGGTTTGATCTGGAGAATGAGAAGGATGAGTCAAGGATGACTCAGACATTTCCAGCGGGGAAGCAGAGGGAGCAGTGATTCCATCCACAGAAACAGGAAAGCCGAGGCCAGGAAGATGAGCTGGTTGGGGACCCATTGGCTGGAAGGCCCTGGTGGGGCATCCAGGAAATGACAAGCTGGCGGATGAAAGCTGGGCTCGGGGAGCGTGGAGAGGAATGAAGCCTGGGGTGCAGACTCCGTAGCCAGCTGGGTTGCTTTGCCAGGTGAGGCCGGGGGAGTGAGTCCTCTTAGCAGAGCCTTAGGTGCTGAGGACGAGTGGTTCTCAGAGAATGAGCTCAGAAATGTTAGGAGAGCCACGTGGTCTGACTGCAAGTGATCTGTCGGCTCCTTGAAAATTATATGCTTCCTGTTAGCTTTCCTTTGGAAACCGTCCAGCCTCCCTCTGCTTGGAAAACCCCGTGGAAAGGTGGCGGGGGCCAGGGGTGCCTCTCCAACACTTCGCGTATCATTTCTGAACAAATTCTGTAGATTTAGCATCCTAAGAGCTGGTCGGTCTCCCGGGGGTGCCGAGAGAGAGCCTAGGGCTGGGGAGGGCGTGCCAGCCTGGACAATCGCCGGGCGATTCTCGGCCAGGTTCCTGGCCACCACACTTCGCTGGGGCCTCTAGAACTGACACACACATCTTTTCTGAATGTCTTATTCTGTCCCCATCACACTACACTTCCCAAGGCTTGAGCACCGCAGGGAAGTGAGTGGTGTCTAGAAATTCCAGGTCAATGAACCATAAGACGAGGCAGGGAAGGATCGCTAGGTCAGGGGGTGTGGTAGAAAGCCCATCTCAGAATTGTCGTGAAATGAGATTTCAAGGTTTCTAAGCTCCCTGCCAAGATGAACTGAAACGACGGTTTCCCTAAGCTCACTGGCTGCTCCCACTTTTCCTGCCTTCCGGTGTCTCTTTCTATTCCAGAACTTTCCTCCCGCTTCCTTATTTCCTGCGCGCCTCACGCTGGAAAGAATGGCCTCCCCACGCAGGTTGGGAGACGGATCTGGGCTACGCCTCCAGGCCCTGGCCAGTGCACAGGTCATTTCCCCCTTCCGTGTGAATCTATTCGAGATGAGGTGACACCACCTGTCAGCGTACAGTTTCTGAAACCGTGACCAAGCTCCTACATGCTTCACACACTGCCCGCGTGATTTTCCAAAGTGAGGAGCGGAACAGGCCCCCGCACTGCTTAAAACCCCTGGCATGAATTCTCAAAACAACCTCAATCCTATAAACCTAGACCCTGGGGTTTCTGGCCCTGCTTGCCCTTCCACTCCACCTGTGTCGTTCCCCTCCCCCCGCCCTCCTGCCCCCCATGCTCTTTGCTGCCACACAGGCCTTCTCTCTTGTCCTCGAATGGTAGCACCCACTCTTTGCAGTCACAGGGCCTCTGCATTGCGGCTCCTTGCCCGCACTGCCAGCTCTTCCCCTGTTGCTCTGCAGGGCTGACTCCTCCTCATCCCTCAGGTTTTAGTGCAGATGTCACTGCCCCAGAAGCCCCTCCCCTCCCCCTTCATCACAGCCCCTATTTGTCCCCTTCATGCCACTGACTGACTGTCAGGTTTACCTGTTAATTTGCTTGTTCCCTGTCTCCCTTCCCTTGGCTGTAAGCACCATAAGGGTAAGGACCACGACCACCACTGTGTCCCCATCACCTGGGACAGGTAGATGCTGATGAAAGAATGAATCCGGCTTTTATTGTTCAACTCCAGCAGTATCTTTCAAGTGAGCAGAGGGAGGGAGGTGAAGGTTTGGCCCAGAATTAGGGAGGAGCACAGGAGAACTGAGGACTCTGGAACTGTAGGCCTGGAGGCTAGCCTTTGGAGGGTTTCTAGATGTCTTTGTTCCTTCCTCTATGTGTGTTTTGTTATCCCTCCACCTCAGAGATTGGCATCCACCTAAACTGAGAGGGTTTTGCAGTGACATGGATGGGAGAGAACAGTGCTCTACCCTCAGGTGTTGTGGGGAGAAGCCCACAATGATAATGAGCTCCCATGTGTGGGACGGTGTCTAAATGGGGCAATTCCCAGGGGGGGGTGGTTAGTGCAGAGTGGGGGTGGAGGGCCGGGAGAGAGTGGACCTTCCAGGGTTTGGTTCTTAGTCACATTTCAGGGTGTTGACCACCTCATCTCCTTCCTTCTAAGGCAGACCATGGTATGGTCTGATTCCCCCCTCATCCCTCCACCGAAACCCATTTTGCTTCACACACTTGTCTGTTGGCAACAGCACAGGTGACACCTTCTGCAGCCTCACTAAGATAAACTGAAGTCTCTGAAGAAACGTGAGTCATGAGGTGCTGAAGGGAAGGTACCCCGTAGGCCTCCCAGCAAGGCCTGAGGTGCCCTGGCCGGTGGTTAGAGCATCGGCCCATGCACCAAAGGGTCGTGGGTTCCATTCCCAGTCTAGGGCACATACTTGGGTTTCAGGTTTGATCCCCAAAGCCAGTAGAGCGTGTGTGGGAGGCAACCAATCGATGTATCTCTGGCATCGATGTCTCTCTCTCTCTCTCTCTCTCTCTCTGTTTCTCTCTCTCTCTCTCTCTCTCTCTCCCTTCTTCCTCCCTTCCACTCTCTCTAAAAAATCAACGGGAAAAATATCCTTGTGAGGAGAAGGAAGGAAGGAAGGAAGGAAGGAAGGAAGGAAGGAAGGAAGGGAGGGAGGGAGGCCTGTGGTGACCAAGACAATGAGTACATCCTCTCCACCCTAAGAACTGTGAGGAAGCCACTCTGAGCAGTACGAAGGGGGGAAATCAATGCCTGATTGTTGCCACAATTACCCCCCAAAACAGAATGGGGTTGGCCTCCCCATTGGCTCACACAGTCCATTTCACTCAGAAACCATGGCTGTGAGGAGGCAGGGAGCGAGCGCACATAAAAATCACCTCCCGCCTTTGTTTAGGTACCTGCTGGCTGCATAAGTGGATTGTGGCTGAATGTCAATGCCTGAGGAAGAAGTTCAGCTTGTTGATCTAGATATAAACTAGGGATGACAATACCTCTCATTCATTTATTAGAGGAATATGTGCGCCGGACATAGTCTCTGTTCCTAGGAAGCCCAGCCCCATAGGATAGGACAGCTGTGAAAGGGATACTTTTCTTTCTGTGCGGTTAGTCATTGTTGTGCATTCCATCGAGTAGATGAGGAAATTAAGGCCTAGGAAGGGACAGTGCCTGGCTCCATTTCATTTGTTCAGTGAGATGAAATCAGGGTTTCTTCTAGAGCCCAAGCCCACTTCTGGGCTCTGTGTGTAAGTCTGTATAACAGAACCATCCAAACGAGAGGGCTCCTCCAGCCGCCCCTCGCACCCAGGTGGATAAGGAGGGGACGAGCCTGGGGCCACCTGGTAAGAACAGGCGTGAACCAGGCTCCCCTGGGGACAACAGGAGGCGGCACAGGAGACAAGACACTCCCTAACTCCTGACCAGGGGATGAGGGGAGGACACTGAAGACCTTTATTAGAGACACACTGGGTGATGAGAAAGGGGCGGGTCTCAGCACAGCCCAGACAACCTCCCCATTCAGCACCTGGCAAATGCCCTCCTAACTCCCAGCTCACTCTCCTCGCGCCCCGGGCAGTCATAATATTGTTGTACTGTCTGAGCCTCCACCCCCAGCTCCCAGTGAGAGATGAACAGCCTATTCATGGCCGTGTGTATCTTGGGCTCTGCATGCCAGAAAAGGAATTATTGGGGTTTTCGGAGAAGAGGAATGAGAGCTAGTTTATGGGAACCTCTCACCCTCTCTTTCGAACAATATGTTCTCATGGCCTCAGAAAGGGTG